AAAAACAGGAACTAAACACAGGAAGAGTCGTTCCATGGATTCATTTGATAGCATAATTAACAATTCAGGAGAGTATGAAGAAGACAATTTTTCAGACACTGACAATGAGGAAGAATGGCAAAAAGAAGCTCAACAAAGCAATCAAAAAGACTGGGAAAAAGAAACTCATCAGAGCAATGCAAATGAATTGCAAAATGAAGCTCAACAGTCAACGTATGTTTAAGACAAAAAAATGCACAATTTAAACTGCCACTATTGCAGCATCACTTGGAAATGACATTTGAACTCCTTGCAAGATAGTCTCATTATTATGTTTAAAGGAACTATATGACTCTTTGAGGATCTTGAGGATGTCATTAAGGGTGGCGCATGCTTCACTTGTTAGATTACTGTAGTTATTTTTATAGTTTATACAAAAATGAGAATTTTTTTACATTTAAGCTAGGCTGGGATATCATCACTTATTGTTATGAAAATATGTCTGTTGTGTGTTGTTTCAGAAAATGGCCATACAAAGGTGTTTTGACTGGTAAAGAATTACCTCCCAATCCTTAATATGAATTTCCAGTGTGGTTATATCAAGCTTTGATATCTGCATATATATTCTCCTTACTGTCCTTCTTACATCTCATGTCAAAGGTCTCATGTCATCAAAGGTCATTTCCTGAATCCTTGCATTCAGATACTGTGACATTTGCATAAACAAATTCAAGATGTAAATAAACATATATTAATTAGAATACAAGCAGAGATGTAAACTATTCATCAGTGCACAGCTAGACCCTCATAAGAAGCTAATAGTTAGCTTGTTAATAAAATTGCCAGCTAAATGACAAAATATATGATTAAGCCAGCATAGGCTAATAAGTCTGCTAAAGTTGAGGCTAAATTGCAGTTTTAGGGAGCTGTTGAACAGTTATAATTTTCAGCCGTAATTGATAGTTCACAAAAAGTAGCAAAATTTGTGGATCCCCATATCTTACAAAGTTGTTTCTAGAAAAATAATGATGCATGGCCTCTATTATGATGATCCGTGTTAATGACATGGAAAAGAAAGAGTATAACAGTTCTTACATCTCTATCCTGAAGGGATAAGATATTATTTTGCTCAGAAACGAAGAGTAGAGGTGAAATCACAACTGTTAGTCATGGAAGAAGGTGATGAGGTTGTTTGGCTACATACTAAAATTACCTCTTCTTTCTATGGCATTTTTGCAACGCACACAACGGCCTAAAAGCCAATAGGTAAAAAAAATAATAAAATGTGCTCTACAAATTTCTCTGGCCTATTGCTGGAGAAAGGTTTCTCACACTCCAGTTTTGCCGAGCTATGCTATCAGAGACTTAATCAGGCAGAGACTTAGATGAAGGTTTGTTTTTTATGTTTTAAAACTCACTGGATTCGATCCATAATTATTTGACTTTGCAGGCATTGCAAAAACTTTCAAGCTGTCCAAGTGAGTTGATTTCCAAAAGGTTGCTTTCTCATGATCAACCAAATGTCTTATTCGTCCCTCTCTGCCTATTTCTGTTTGTCATTATAATATTTAACTGTTACTTTTAACTTCTTACTTTAACATATTTACACACCCTTCATGTTGAATGTAGAAATGGATGACAAATAGAAAACAGAGATTGTAGTTGATTATAGTTGAATAAAAATAGCAGACATTATGAAAGTCTGGTTTAAGAATCCTTGCATTGATAAAAAAAGACTGCAGGAATTTGGTGTTAATGTTTCCTACAGAACCTTACATGCTAAGACATATCCAGATTTTTTAAAGCTTATCATTGTTCATTACTTGTTAGTGGACCATTGAGTGATCCAGTAACCTTGAAACATTTTACCCCACAAGCAGAGGTTGCCCTCTGGCGTGGCTTTTAGCGTTTGCAAAGTCATTCGCGTGACTGACAAGTGACACAAATGAATTTGTAAATGCTAAAAGCCTTGCTGGAAAGAAACCTCTGCTTGTAGAGTAGAAACAATTTTCATTTATGTTTCTTATCAGTTGTAAAATCTAAGGCATCCACTTTATAAAAAATAAAGAGAAAATTATTTTTTCTAACAGAGAAAATGTGAGAGTTATGTGTGAAGGTAGGGTAGGGGGGGAACGGTGACATAAAAGAAAGGGGTGGTACGAAATAATGAGACTTGTGAGGGTGACTTATGGTCTTAATTAGGGTCTAACTAAGCAGTGGCAGATCCAGGGGGGCCACCTTCCCCCCTCTTATTTTTAGATCAAACTGTGCCCCAAAGGGTCGAAAAAAATCTTTTTTGAGATGGCCCTCCCCCCCGCCTCTTATCTGAAGGTATGGATCCGACACTGCTAAGAACTAACCTCGTTCCCAGGGGAAAGAGGTTGACTGAGGACATGAAGAAGCAGATAGCACGCACTCCATTACCATCACTGCAAAGACGGTATTTGGGTTTATTGACCTGCAATGGTCAGGTTAGCACAAAGTGGACATGGAGCAAGAGACGTGCGTGACAAGGGAAGTAAGATTTCTGTGCCTTCCCCAGTGCTCACGTGCTTCGTGCATGCCTCAAAAACACGAATAAGTAGTGCAAACCCATTCTAGGTGGAGAGAATTTAAGCCTGGTGAATACATGAGAAATGATGATGTTATAACATTCAGTGACACTGGTGGCTTGGAAGAGACTCTTTTTGGGAGTAGTTGGAATTTTTAAACCATCCATGCCATCCAGTCCCAGAGGTTTTTCTTAAAATTTGTCATGAAAACTGTCATCCTACTTTGTGCAATATTATTTTGTTAACTATTGTTACCATAAAATTATGTGATGCCATCTTTTCAGGTGGAAGGCAATTAAGAAACTTGAATCTGTTTCAAATAGTTTTATTAAAAATTCTGTGTGCATAATTTACACTTTACACTTTTTGTTTTTGTATAAATAAAACATTATTTAATTACAGTGCAAATTTTTTTACAATAAATACGGTAACCAGAAGCCGTGTCATGCAGACTGTTCATTAATGGCAGCTAACCTTTATGGCAGCTGTTGCTTTCATATCCCAGATCAAAACTAATTTATTTCTACCCGTAACAACTGTAACAAGATCACTTCATTCATAAATGCAAGGTTTCTACAGTAATCAGAGCAAAAGGCACCCAACAATGTCTTCAGTTCTGTATGGATGAACTTTACCTGACAGAAAATCAACTACAGTTTCATCCCACATTTCAAAGCTGTTTGAAATGGCAGTTGTGTCTTCGTTTGTTTCTGTGTTACCAGTTACTAGGGGAGTTTTCAGTTCTGGGTTTGCAGTTCTGATTGCAGCCACAAATGCAATTGGGTTTGGTTCGGTTGAAACAATTACTTCCCGTTCGTTTATTACTACAGCCTCTTTAAGCTTTTCACCCGAGTCAAAAGTATCAGTGTCTTTGTTTGCTTCTGTGTCAATCATCCCACTGACCATTGCTTTATTCACTGGCTCTGTTTCTGGTGGTGGTGTTGAATTTGCTCCTTCAGTTGTACTTTCGGCGGCATTTTCATCCCCTACTAAAGTGTCATTTTCATTAGCTTGCTTGGTTTCATCCCCTTTCTGACAATGAGTTGATTCGTCGCGTATGCCAGTGTCTTTATCTTCCTCTACAAGATTTCTTTCAAACGACAAGCCCTCCACAACACCTCCTTCCAAAGACTGCCTCACGTTTTGAGCAAATGTATCGTAATCGTTGTCCTGTTCGGGATCAAACAAAGGACTCAGAGGATCTTCTAAGTTTGGATTGTACAATAGAAATAATAGTCCCTGCACACAGTCTTCCAAATTGTTTGTCTCGACCCATTCGTTGAACAAATTCAGGCAAATTTCGCCGTTCTCGTCTATGTTTGGATGGTAAATTTGTGTCACACACGTGACATTCGGTGCATCCTTTGGATAATTTTGGAGAGTTACTTCAAAGTCGAATTTTCCACCACAGTAAAGACCATCGTTTGGAACTATCTCGACTTTAAATGATTCGAGATTTTCTTCGTAGTAGCAAACCTCAGCTTGCTTGTTTGAAAAGCTCGCGATGCTTTTCATAAGCTTGTGGAAGTCTTTCGCTAACGTATTTCCTTCCATCCCGCACATTTTGATTCGGTCTTGAAATCCAATGGAAAAAGGCTTATATGACTTTTATCTTTTCAGCAACAATTCATTACCAGTTTGCAATAAGTAGCTTGACGAAATGTTTGAATAAAATGATCGGACAGCTCGCTTTATAGCGTTAATTTCACCAGCACCGCAAAGTTTATGTTTGATGGTGCAACGGCGTGGACACCAAATGATTCCGCGTCAAGAACCAATCACAGCAGACTATAATTGCATCATCTTTATTTTCTTCCGGGGAATACCCCTCGAACGCGGGGTTTGTTCTGGGGCTTTACACAGGGAAAAAGTTTCAAAAGACAAGCTTCTGGACTTTTGTTCTGGTATAGAAAAGAAAACGAAGAGATTTAGATTAGCTAAAACTGTACAGTTTTCTCTTCTTTGTTTTTTTTTTTGTGTATGAGAAATTTATTTTCAAGTACGCGTGCTCCTGAGTAAATCGTCTATTAAAAACCAAATTTTTGGCTCAGCTGCACTCCACTCGAATTATATAAGTTTGGATCGGTACAACTAGAGGGCAAAAGGGCTTTTACCTTCCAATTTAACAATACGTTTTTGTGGGGTAAAAGGAGGAAGGACCAGGTTGACCAGACCTCCGAGTGTAAGGCTGAGTTTTAAAGCCGTGATTATTATTATGATGAGACTTGCAATAATGAGGGGATTATTTTTTTAATATCCTGAACAATATTGAAACAGTATTTTATCTCTGGACGAAATGAGCTTTGATACTGAAAATAAATATTTAATCAGCCGAAAACCCCGGGCGACAAACGGCTGATAATTGAAAACCGTAACATGTGCGCCAGCGATCAATTTACTTCAAGTTAACCACCTGGCATGCGTTCAAAAACTGTGAGGAATCTTCAAACCGGTAGTAAAGTCACAAAGATGACTCCGATACACAGACAATTGCTCTATCTTTTCCTTTTTGGTTACATTTTGGAAGCAGTAATTGCATCAGATGGTGTTGGATTGGCAGATTTGGCAAAAGTTTTAGGACAGCTAGCCGGCGGAGACAATTGTGTATTTAAATGTCCCAAAGGTAAGATCTTCCAACGACCGGTTTGAAGCGCCTCGATAAATAGCAAAATAGACTCTACTTTAAGAGTAACTAACACCTTACTGAAACAGACTACAAGTGCTTGTTTGAAAGAGACAGCTAATATATATATATATATATATGTGTGTGATTTGGTTTAATACGCTACACTGACTGCTCCTATTATTGCCTTATAAAAGTCATGTAAATAATTAGCACGGTGACGGTCATTAATAATGGTTCCGAATGTCACACCAGAAGCGATCGACTAGACTACCTTGGACCGATCTTAAGGCGCCCTAAACACCCGATATTCCCACCGTTATTTCCTTTTTTTAGTCATTATCCTAACTATGAAAAAACATAGCAAACAAAGTTGTGCACAAACATAACATCATTCCTTCAGCAGGTTTCAAATAAGATGACCTGGTGTATTTTGATTGGTTGCCCATATGGTCCATTTATTTACTCACCTGTGAAATTGACCGTAGGGTACGTAACCAAAAGTAACTAATGCTTTCAAGAATATTTTTTTTTTAAATAAAGAAAAAAAGTATATTCCTCTCACATACATTTTTGAAACTGATAATTTCTTTTTTTGACAGGACACAAACCTCTTGCTAATCCAAAACACATACCATCATCAGATGGCTGTGGTTCCATGGGAATCAAGGTATAATAATTCTGAAACTACTTTAACCCTAATATCAGTGTGTTTATTATTCACTCTGTTCCCAACACATTCTTGTTGAAACGAATGAGAATTTATTCAACAATCAAGTCCATTTTTAATAGGAGGCAAGTGTACCTTTGCTTCCTGCCTCCAAGGCCCCCAAGTGACCTCCAAGGTTATTACAACTAAAAGCGTGGAACATTTCAAAGAGCCTGTGAACAGGCTCAGAATTGGAGCAGGGCAAAAAAATGGCAAGTAGAGCTAGAGTGTGACCAATAATAAATTTTTCACCCCACTCCACTTGGGAGCCTGTTCACAATCTACTTTCAATAGATTTGACTTCTTAAGTTTTTTGTGTATTTCAGATTGTAAAATATAGTTTATGTCCAAAATAGTTTTGAGTGAAACTGGGGTGTGGCAAGAAGAAATGCTAGCCTGACTGATAATTCTTTAACCATGGGCTATAGATGGAACTTCTGTTGTGAAAATCAAGATAAGCAATACAACTAAAGACATTTTTGTTGTGTTGTCACTTACACACATGCACTGTCATTACTTAAAGTGGGCATATACCATCCCTGTTGCAGTTAATTTCTGTTTTTCCTTTGTATTAAATTCATTAGCATACATTACCATACCTAAAAACAATGGAAAAATAAAAATTAACTGAAATAAAAAATTAACTACAACATCCCCCTCTATATTGTGTTTATTTCTTTTCTGCAGCTTGACACAACTCACTTTGCTGGCTTTACCAGATGCTGTGACCTCCATGACAAATGCTATGACACATGTAACAATGACCGCAACCAATGTGATGAAGATTTTAAATCTTGTCTAGACAATGAGTGCCTCTTAACAGGACTTGGCAATCGCCTGCCTAAAGAAGAGCTGGAGGCTTGTCAGAAATCTGCAGACCTTATGTATTCAGGGACTTATGCTCTAGGGTGCATGTCTTACAAAGAAGCCCAGAGAAATGCATGTCTCTGTAATGGAAGAAAAATAACTAAGAACGAAATGGACGAACTTGAGAGAGATGAGGAATTATAACCCATCATAAAATTAATACTAGTTGTATATCTACTTTCAATTCAATTTATTTATTTGAAAAGTACATATTTGATAGTGAATCAGCCTATAAGGCTTTTGCCTTTCCTCGCTTTTGTCTTAATCAAAGAAAAGAAAGTTACAACCATGAGTAAAAAAGCCAGGAAAGCCATCTGTTATACACAGGTAATAGCAGATTTGATACTTAAAGCAAATAACATTTCACCTCAAATGAGCAGCACAAGTACAAGGCAACATCCATCACATTTCCTTTTTTCCAATTTCTTCAAAGATTCTGGTGGTCTGCTAGTGTTCATATTTGTGCTATTTTTAATAAAAAAATCATGAAACTTCTTTTTGGCAATTTAATAATTCTTTTTGCTCCTCAGCCTACCCCCAACCTTCTGTATAGCACTTAGCAATAATACAGAAACAGTACACGTATTCAGTCAAGAGACTATGATTACTAATAGTCTATTATAAAGATTCTGCAAATCAACTTTCAAAACTTTATTCCATGCACCAAGATATTGGTGCTCACTATCTTTAAAGTTTTAATTCTCTGCACTGAACAGTATTTTTATTTTACCTTACATACATACACCCACAGACTAAACTTACTGTTACAATTCTATGCCAATACCTATTTAACAATAAATATTAGTCATCCACTGATGACAGATTCTGTCCTATGCAACAAATACTTATCAGCAAGGTTGTTGCAAGACCACTTGAGGCAAATTTTTTCTTCATGCAAATGCATATTAGTGCGTCCGTTTTGACTGTCAGGCAACCGATTATGCATACAGCAGCCTTCTTTCTTACTGCTCCACAAGTCAGTGAAATACAGCCATGTTTTATACCCTTCCAACCCCAATGTCCTTCTCATTAAGTTGCAATTCTGCATTTTCCACATATTTCATCAAAGACATTGCCAAACAGGAATTCTGCATGTCCAACTCAGCTAATCTGCTTACAATCAGTCTAACCCTGCCAGACCAATTTCCTGTACTCTCTGCAGCTGGAGAGGGAAATCATTTACAATTTTGTGTCAGAGCATTGGCCATGGTAAGAACTACATCAATAATAACTAGGAAGGAATAATACCAGCAATATTGTAGAAACCTAGCTGGGCCCAGATTCACATCACAATTCTTTGTGGAAAAATATCCTGCTAATAAAACAATAACTAGCCTAATATTGTTAAATTAGCAAAATGTATACAGCTTTCTCCCACTGCTTGCTACTACAGACAATGAGAGGCAGCTATATGCACAGGCTATTTTTGTTTTTCCAACAATGGGCCACTATTCTTTTATTTAATGAACCTGGGGCCCAATTCTCCAAAGTTGCCATACATTTTCCGGCTTGCAATCAAGTACTCAAATCAAAATCTAAAGAGTAATAGCAGAGGTCCTAGCTAACACACCAGACCATTTTGTTTTGTTAACTGATGGTTTTATCATGTTATCTGCAAAACTTTTGAAACCTCGATCTTGAAGGTAACAACAACAGCTTCACTGGCCTGTAAATTACTGGGACATTCTAGAAACCAGCCCCTGTCCCAAAACAACTAATAGTGAGAAATTTGTTCTTACCACATTCTGCACATCCACCAATGTCCTATAATATCATTTCTTCTTTTTCACTGCTCGTCCTTCTCGCTGAATCCTGAGGAACTCTTCTCCTTTCAGCTGAGCCAGGTTTTTCAAGTCTTGAAATGGATGCTCACTTTCACTTGGAGTCTTTGGAATGCCTAATTGGCGACGCACTGAAGGAACCTTTAAGGCTATGTTCTGTGTCAGACCAAAGAAGGCTGAAACAGCCCAGTAAAGGGACATGGCCTGAAAATCAGAAACATGAAAATAAAATAATGTTCATTTATGCAAGAAATCGTAATTGAGTTAACAAAATGCTCATTAGATGAACTTTTTTAACCATGATAATAATAAAACAGTGCCTATAACTATGGACCACTTGCTAACTGATTTCATCATAATTAAGTTCAAAGAAACGGTTTCTTCCTGATCTATCAGGTTTAAAAAAGATTCAATTATATTAACAGTGCCATTTGCATGTTTTTTTTGTTACAATATTATTATTGTACACAAAGATAGTTATGAGATATAAATTAAACATCACCATGTCATAGGTTGAAACTGATAATAAATGATGATTTATTATTACAAGCCACAAAATTAATAATCACAATGATTATATAAACTATTTCAATCTAATGAAGAGTTGAACAAACTTTAAGGTTAATGACAACTTACTGCAGGGACCTGTGAAGCTACAACCACCATTCCCACAGACACAATTCGCAGGGTGTTGGTCACAATCCGTTGGAACTTTGTTGCTTTATGTCGTCGCAATGCATTGAGCTGTGCTCTAGGGTGCATGTCTTACAAAGAAGCCCAGAGAAATGCATGTCTCTGTAATGGAAGAAAAATAACTAAGAACGAAATGGACGAACTTGAGAGAGATGAGGAATTATAACCCATCATAAAATTAATACTTGTTGTATATCTACTTTCAATTCAATTTATTTATTTGAAAAGTACATATTTGATAGCGAATCAGCCTATAAGACTTTTGCCCTTCCTGGCTTTTGTCTTAATCAAAGAAAAGAAAGTTACAACCATGAGTAAAAAAGCCAGGAAAGCCATCTGTTATACACAGGTAACAGTAGATTTGATACTTAAAGCCAATAACATTTCACCTCAAATGAGCAGCACAAGTACAAGGCAACATCCATCACATTTCCTTTTTATCAATTTCTTCAAAGATTCTGGTGGTCTGCTAGTGTTAATATTTGTGCTATTTTTAATAAAAAAAATCATGAAACTTCTGTTTGGCAATTAAATAATTCTTTTTTGCTCCTCACCCTACCCCCAACCTTCTGTATAGCACTTAGCAATAATACAGAAGCAGTATACGTATTCAGCCAAGAGACTATGATTACTAATAGTCTATTATAAAGATTCTGCAAATCAACTTTCAAAACTTTATTCCATGCACCAAGATATTGGTGCTCACTATCTTTAAAGTTTTAATTCTCTGCACTGAAATTTACAGTATTTTACCTTACTTACATACACCCACAGATTAAACTTACTGTTACAATTCTATGCCAATACCTATTTAACAATAAATATTAGTCATCCACTGATGACAGATTCTGTCCAATGCAACAAATACTTATCAGCAAGGTTGTTGCAAGACCACTTGAGCCAAATTTTTCCTTCATACAAATGCATATTAGTGTGTCCCTTTTGACTGTCAAGCAACTGATTATGCATACAGCAGCGTTCTTTCTTACTGCTCCACAAGTCAGTGAAATACAGCCATGTTTTATACCCTTCCAACCCCAATGTCCTTCTCATAAAGTTGCAATTCTGCATTTTCCACATTCATCAAAGACATCGCCAAACAGGAATTCTGCATGTCCAACCCAGCTAATCTGCTTACAATCAGTCTAACCCTGCCAGACCAATTTCCTGTACTCTCTGCAGCTGGAGAGGGAAATCATTTACAATTTTGTGTCAGAGCATTGGTCATAGTAAGAACTATATCAATAATAACTAGGAAGGGATAATACCAGCAATATTATAGAAACCTAGCTAGGCCCTGCAGATTCATCACAATTCTTTGTGGAAAAATATCCTGCTAATAAAACAATAACTAGCCTAATATCGTTAAATTAGCAAAATGTATACAGCTTTCTCCCACTGCTTGCTACTACAGAGGCAGCTATATACACACGTAGGCTATTTTTGTTTTCCAACAATGGGCCACTATTATTTTATTTAATGAACCTGGGGCCCAATTCTCCAAAGTTGCCATACATTTTCAGGCTTGCAATCAAGTACTCAAATCAAAATCTAAAGAATAATAGCAGAGGTCCTAGCTAACACACCAGACCATTTTGTTTTGTTAACTGATGGTTTTATCATGTTATCAGCAAAACTATTGAAACCTCTATCTTGAAGGCAACAACAACAGCTTCACTGGCCTGTAAATTACTGGGACGTTCTAGAAACTGGTCCCTGGCCCCAAACAACTAAGAGTGACAAATTTGTCCTTACCACATTCTGCACCTCCATCAATGTCCTTTTTTTATAATATCATTTCTTCTTTTTCACTGGTCGGCCTTCTCGCTGAATCCTGAGGAACTCTTCTCGTTTCAGCTGAGCCAGGTTTTTCAAGTCTTGAAATGGACGCTCACTTTCACTTGGAGTCTTTGGAATGCCTAACTGACGACGCACTGAAGGAACCTTAAAGGCTATGTTCTGTGTCAGACCAAAGAAGGCTGAAACAGCCCAGTAAAGGGACATGGCCTGAAAATCAGAAACATGAAAATAAAGTAATGTTCATTTATGCAAGAAATCGTAATTGAATTAAATAATCATTGGATGAACTTTTTTAACCATGATAATAATTATAATATTTTGACTAAACAGTGCCTGTAACCATGGACCACTAGTCTTATTAACTGATTTCATCATAATTAAGTTAAAAGAAACAGTTTCTTCCTGATCTATCAGGTTTAAAAAAGTTAAAATTATATTAACATTGCCATTTGCATGGTTTTTAATATTATACACAATGATAATTAGATATAAATTAAACGTCACCATGCCATAGTTTGAAACTGATAATAATGATTTATTATTACAAGCCACAAAATTAATAATCACAACATGATTATATAAACTGGTTCAATCCTAGGAAGAGTTGAACAAACTCTAAGGTTAATGACAACTTACTGCAGGGACCTGTGAAGCTACAACCACCATTCCCACAGACACAATTCGCAGGGTGTTGGTCACAATCCGTTGGAACTTTGTTGCTTTATGTCGTCGCAATGCATTGAGCTGACCACAAGAGAGAGAAAAAACACTCATGTGAGAATCAAACATACTGTATAAAACTTGAGTGATTACCATAATATAAAGATGAATTAAACTAGAAATAAAAGCTGCTCACTAATATATGGCTCCTATTTTTCCATAAAATGCAGAAACTGTACCACCACCAGGAAGTGCATGGATCTTTTCTGATAAATTGAGGAACACACTTTGATTCAACAGTTAAGAAAAATTCCTAATTTATACCTCATTTTAAAAACTGAAAATTGACAGTGCTACAGTATTTGACTGGTCACCAAATGCATGTTTTTCACAGATTTAACAGGATCCCCCTTTAACCAACTTTGGGAGCCAAATTAAGCAAAGGAAAGGAGTCCAAGCAAGAATATCCAGAGGCGAGACCTAGGTTAGGATAACTAATATTATTTAGTTTAATGTAAGTTGTTGATTTTGGTCTTAAATGTGACACACCCTTTTTGGTAAATAAAATATCCAAGAGAAACAAACTGGCAACAGTGTGACCTGCTCCACATGAACAGGTGGCCAAATAGGCTAAGAACACCTGTTGCATTATAAGGCAGTCTTTTGGAAGCTGAGAGCATTTTGATGTTTCTTTTGAACTGATCAAGTTTTAAACAAATCTACACATTATTCAAACAAATTTACAAAAATATAGTTCATGCAAGTACCAAATTACTGCCATAGCAAAGGAATCAATTCTTTTATTTCTATCTTAGGTAAATGTAAGGCCATTAGTTTGTGCCTGCTTTGATGTTTGCCGATGTAAGTTGAAACTGTTTGGAATCATTCCAAAACTGAAGGTCTAAATAATTTCTATTTTCACTTTACAGACCAGTCTTGTAGCTTTGCCTCTGTTAAGGATGTTTAGTCGGGGCTGTCATAAAGAGCCAGGGGCTGGGGATCTTTCCTGGCTACTATGTATATGGTGCCCGGCTTCTTTCAACAGGAAAAAGAAGAAAAATAGAACCAAAAGAAATCCCTAGCTGACCCCAGTAATGTAGGAGCTGCTCATACGGTGTTTCCTCATTGGTTGTAGAAAACAGTAACACATCATTGAATTATCATTATTTTCCATTGTTTCACAGTTAGGGTATCGAACCAACTGGCTTTTAAGGTTAGGAGAGGTGCCTAGCTGTTTGATTCCCCACCTACTTGTTGTATTTACCTGGCAACTAGAAATCTTAGTGATAACCCTGTTAGTCCACAATAACAGTTGGACAATCAATCGATATTATTACCCTTTCAAAGCAAGCTTTCTGTAACATAATTGTCTTGAACAATTTCTCAGTGGTTAAAGTTAACAACTAAGAAATTTGATGTAAACAATCTACAATCACTAATGTCCATCATCATAAGTGACAACAACTTGTGGGTGAAGATAACTCATGACAACTCAAAGCACTAAAATTATTGTAGACCGTTTTAGCATGTCATGAGCCACATAAATCGCTACAGTAAGACTATGTCAAAGTGAAAAAGAAAACAGCACAATAGATATTATTTGAAAAATTGACAATATCATCTATGATAATCCATTATTTTCAAAGTTATTCATGAACTTCAGAACGAAATTTATTTTTAAAAAAACTTTAAAATTGTTACAAGTATATAAAAATTAATCCTGTTAATATGCATGATATATTATTATTAAAATTGAAGATAATATTATTATATTATTGCATTTAAGATGTCAAAGCAAAATCAGCCTTCTGAATGTTCCAAAGCAATGCAAAATTGTAAAATCTCTATCATGAGTACCTAAAGGAATCTTCTTCAAACTCAGTTAAAAATTTTTCATCACAACAAAAAGTAAATTCTCATAAAGTCTTTGCACTGTAAAACTGAAGTAACAAAAATTAATGGTAAACTGCATTACTCCAAGATGGCATAGCTTATTAAGAAATAGACACATGATTTTTGAGACCAATATAAGAGTGTCAAATTGGACAAAAGTTTGACACCCATATTTTCAAATACTTTTTCCACTCCTAGATGAAAATTTTGCCACATAATTATTTCTTGTCAACACCAAATGTGTCTGTCAACTTTGTCAACAGTATGAACAATCAGCATCAGGCTGCCTTGACGAGCAGGTGACCATTGATCACCTGTTGCTATGTCACAGGTGGCTTCTAACATCCAAAATGCACATTTCTTTGAAAACAAAATTCAATGGGACTGTTAATCCTTCAAAACATCACTTAAAAACCATATTTCCAGCTAATCTGTATGGCCATCATTTTCATCACGCAGCAAAAAGTGAGAAAATACTGAGTGAGTTTGTTGTGCAATTTTATTTCTTTAAAGCTACAAATTTTTCTTTCCAGGACCACACCTAATTATAAGCTCCACCTTACAAATAACCTACAGCCAGACTATAAACAATGAGGTTAGCTTGACCTGATTATGAACACAACAGCAGTCCACACCCTTCATCTACAATCCTCGCCCTTAAAAACCTGGGTTGTTTATTGCCCACACAACACTAATTGCAGGACTAAACCCCGAGCAAGGGGTATTTAATTGCTCCAACGGAAAGTTGCTCCTGACCAGTTCAGTAAGTGAAATTATCTTGTTCTGAAAAATTATTACAACGACCACTAGTTTGAAATGTTGCAAAAGAGAAATGACCCATGTTTGGAACAGAAAATGAATATTTGTCATGGGAACTTAAAACTGGAAAATTTAAACATTGTTTTTCTATCTTCTATTTAATTCATAAACTCTTTTAAGAATCTCTTCTGCATGATAATGATTCAAAGAATTACACCTTTCAGTATTAGAAGAACAAACCACCAAATATTACATGACAAAAAAGAAAGTTCAGTCAGTTTTTACTTGCTTGTTTTCATAACAAATCATTAACAAAACATGTTTACAACACAGTAGTTATGAAGGAAAAAATATGTTTTTGCTAAGTGCGTAAATTAATCTTCACCTGCTTAAGTTTATAACTTAAACGTTAAAACTTTACAGCTTAACTTTAATGTTCAAACATTAATTTGCACTCAAAGATTTGATATTATATTTCTAGAGAGTACTGAATGTACATTCAACAGACCAAGTAACTGTTTATAGAATTGAAAACAGTCAAGTTTTTAAAACATGTTGACAAGGCTTTACTGGTCAGCAATTTCAATAACCTAACTTATGCTATATGTTTTCTTTAGAAACCAACAAAGTTTAACTTTAATGTTCAAAAATTAAATTTGCACTCAAAGATTTGATATAAATGGATTTCTAGAGAGTACTGAATGTACATTTAACAGACCAAGTATAAACTGTTTATAGAATTGAAAACAGTCAAGTTTTTAGTACATGTTGACAAGGCTGTTCTGGTCAGCAATTTCAATAACTTAGTTTTGCTGTTATGTTTTCTTCTTTAGTAACCAACAAAGAAACATTTAGTTTCCTATTTTTTCTAGCACCATGTTTATGCCAAACAGCAACTGGCAATTTGTACCACTTGACAAGTTTTCTCTTTACCTGTTGATTACTGTTCATTTTATATATATCTACCAAAAAATAGTAGTTTCCAGCCAGTTTCATCCCTAGAATTATTCTGCACAGTTTTGTCTCTTCATTTCCTTCTTTGAGAAATCGTCAACTTGAATTTGATGTTTGCTGTTTGCTGTAATAAAGCCTGTGATTCTAAATCTCTCTGACGTAAAATTTCCTTCTGCCATGTATCTTTCAGCAACATTACACATAACTATTAAAGTATTGATCTCTCAAGTGTGCTATTGAATATAATACTGACCTCAATATTGGTGAGATTAAAGATACCAACAGCAAAAGGTATGATCAGGGTGGGGTCTGCTACAGTAAGGTCAGGAAACCACAGGGCACCCTCATTTGCTATCTCAGGACAGGGGAGGATAACATCACCATCTAAAACAGACATTGATAGTTTCAATAATTCTTACAAGCAAATCTTTAACATCTGGTTACAAAATGCCACACTAAAATGTTTTTAATATTACAGCAAGGAGCCCAAAAGTGTGATCTTCTTTAATTAGCTCAGTTTTTTTTTTCATGCAGACATTAACCAAACAGAAGTCAAGGACAGTTTCCAGCTGACTTCTGATTGGATTAAATCTATACAAAAGAATCGCTGTAAAAGTTAAAAAACATTTAAAAAGATGACAACATTTTGGAGGTCAACTTATGTCATAATCAAGTCATTAAATATGAAGAACATTTGAGTGCAGTATTTAATATCCAAAAGTTTAACAAAGTCACTTCTTATCTAAATTAGCAAATCTTACTTTTATTAATTGTTGTGTACTATCTTTAGAGAAACATGCACACATGGCCAAAAAACATTTCATCCCGTACCATTTCAAAATAAGCTACAATCCCAGACAAAACTACTTGAGAAAGTTTTGATGATGATGATGAAACTTTATTAAGGTGTCTAAAGAAGCCTCCTAGCTACGTAACAATTTTTAACTATTTCCAAAATGACGCCTTTGCGGAAAGAAATCCCCTTCCCCCAGTTCAACGTTGCTTCCTACAAACACCAAGGGATCAGGCTTTCTTTTGAATAGACAACAACATTGCTTTCAGGGGAAGGGGGAGAAGGAAGGACCGGGAACAGCTAAGATGTTTAGAAAAATGCTCTTCAAGTATACAATTTTCTCAACAGTTTTGTCCAAGATTGTAGCTGACATCCCCTCATATCAGTTTGTTTATTTTCAGCTTGAACATCGGTAGGTATCCTTGACGGCCAATGGCTGCAGCACCTAACTTCCCTACTTACAAGTGGTGGGAAACAGATGACAAGACAAAACGCCTTTACACAGAGCTGTTGGCAGAAAAACTCTCCAGCCCAAGAAAAACATTAGGAACCTCACTCAGCAGAAAGCCATCAAATGGAAAAGACGTGAAAGGCAGACTAACATCATCCCCTAAACATGAGGTACATGTACTGCCTACAAATGATTATTCCAAAGAGAAGGAATCTGTCAGAAACAAGCAGGATGAAAAAGGGGATGCAGTGGATAAGCATGGAAAATACACTTTTGAAACAATCACCATTGACACACTTGCTAAATATGAATACATTAAGAGTCCAAGGAAGAGAGCTGCAGCCACAACTGTACCAGTGAGTTTCTTTGAAAAAACCAGTACAATGCCGGATAACAAAGACGTCAGGGATAAGACTTTGCCTTCACAGGCAACATCAGATCCCTCGACCTCCAATGGTCACTATCTCATCTCACAGAAGATGAGCTCAGCAAAAACTGAAGCTCCAAACTGGAAATTAGACAAAGGTGCTGTCAAAAAGGCTGAAAACAAGAGTGTTGGGATTCAAAAAGAAAAACCTTCACGTTCTATGAAACTGAAAGAAATTCCCGAGTACACTTCATCAGAGTCAAGTGAAAACTCGGCAGATGAAACAGTGATCATAGGAAACAAGGCTGCTGACAAGGGGAAAAAGTTGCAGACACCTCTCCTCGACTTGAAAGAGGTCAGTGACAAGAAAAAAGCCGCTAAAACTGATCAGCCCTTAAAGATTGAGGAGCTAGGCACCAAGTTCCAGCTTTTGTCTGAGGAAGTGGCACAGCTTGAGTTCAAGATGTTTGAATTTTCTGATGATATTCAAAAATTGAAGCAAGCCATGGGCTTCAAGGAAGCTGATACAGAACGAACACAAGAGAATAAAAGCACTGCTGAGAAGAATAAGAGTGACTATGGAGTTACTCGTCAGAAGAGCTTCACATATGCCGATAAGTTCCACAGTAAAGCTGTGTTGATGAAACAGCAAGCATCACCAAGTAAGATGCTTTCTGCTAAGCCTGGTAAATTTCTTCCAGGTAAACTAACGCTTGAAAGTACAAGTACGGAGGAGGCAATGGCTGAATTGAAGAAGAATGAGGCCTTAAATCAGATCATCAGTAAAATTAAGGAAGAAGAACTCTCTGAAGACGACATACAGGAGATTCTGCGCTGTGCCAAGGACAAGTACATCAATAAACCAAACTACCTAGAGGAGCTGGGATATGTCCGAAAAAATGACTAAGTTCAGCAGATCTATAAACAGTGGCTGAAGAAGTTTGACAAAAAAACTGGATGAAAGAGACCTTGGACAGAACTGCAGCTTGGTTAATAAGTTGAGAATTTTGGCTTCTGGAATTGACTTTTTCTAAAGAAAATCAATGTATAAGCAAGTTACAAGGCTTTCTGAGGTTAAGCAAGAGGCGATTGTTATATTACATTTGACGGCGCACAAGTGGTGGCCTTGCAAAAGCAACTTTTCAAATGCATCAAGCAAACTGAGAGGCTACAGTCATAGTATCACTGACAATAAACACATGAACCATTAAGAGGACTAGAGATAAGCCACGTAGGTTAATTAAGTGATTTATTCAGAATTGGAAAGATCACAAACTAAATAGTTAAAAGTAAAAAAAATTGGAGGCACTGTTTTTTATCATTGAGTCATACAAAATATACCATCCCAAATTTAAAAAGAAGGGTCACTTCTGATAGCATTTTATAAAAAAAAAAACTCTTATCTCAAATCTCAATTGATTTTTCTCTTCAACCCCTAACATTATTGTTTCCTTGACTTTGCCTTTATGTAATGATACTAAATATTTAAATTTATTTATGGAATAATATTTATTTTAAAAGTTAAACCCTAACCCTCAGCTGTTCTGTTCCACCTAGATTAGCTTTTACTACCTACAGGACATTAAGTTAATTCTTTCAATAACNACATGAACCATTAAGAGGACTAGAGATAAGCCACATAGGTTAATTAAGTGATTTATTCAGAATTGGACAAGATCACAAACTAAACCGTTAAAAATAAAAAGAATTGGAGGCACTGTTTTTTTTATCATTGAGTCATACAAAATATACCATCCCAAATTTAAAAAGAGGGGTCACTTCTGATAGCATTTTATAACAAAAAAACTCTTATCTCAAATCTCAATTGATTTTTCTCTTCAACCTCTAACATTATTGTTTCCTTGACTTTGCCTTTATGTAATGATACTAAATATTTAAATTTATTTATGGAATAATATTTATTTTAAAAGTTAAACCCTAACCCTCAGCTGTTCTGTTCCACCTAGATTAGCTTTTACTACCTACAGGACATTAAGTTAATTCTTTCAATAACGTTATTGTTGTTGTAGTTGTTGTTGTTAAGCTGCTTAAATAATCATCATCATCATCATCATCATCAACAACAACTATTTGAACAGAAACAACTTGATAAATTTTAACTTTGAACAAAAAAGTGAGAAACATATAACAAAATGGTTATGACGTAAGTAGGTTGAGTATGATCATCCGAGTGAACGTAGTCCTGAATAGGACTGTTGTTGTTGACAGTGACTGTGTTTTGACAACCTGTGTGGTAGTCATCCCTAAGTCAAACTGAGTTGCATCACGTCAGTTGATGGTATTAAAAAGGTTCAGTCAGTACATATAGTCAGCACATCTCAAATGTATTTTGGCAGTACAGCCTACAATGAAGTTGCCATCATCGTTATGGTTTAACACAAGTAAGTCCATGTATGTCCTGCCCACTAGAACTCACAAAAGTCACATATTTTGAAAGGTGGCCATCAGTACAGGTTCACTATTATATAATAATATTTTATTAGCCATATCCAGGCATTTTAGCCATAATTTAAACACTTTGCCCTGGTAACAATACCACAAACCAGGACGTCACCCGGACGATCAAACTCAACCTTTTGAAATGACTCCTGGGTTCAAACCTTTCACAGTGATTGTTTTGTTACACAATTTCTCCTCATTAGTAGCACAAGAAGTGTATAACGGTAATAGAGCTTTAAATGTGTAGCAAAAAGGGAGAGGTTGAAAGGTCATATAAATGAAAAAAGAGGGCCACGTTAATGTACATTTTTTGTAATTTTTTAATGGAATTGTATTTTGTAATCTTTGTACTAAAAACTATGCTGGTATATACAAAAACAAAACAGGCTGGTGTATTTAGTATTAAAGCTTGCAATTAAAAGTAAAACTTATCCAGATTTTGACCAAAAAGAATTCATGATCTTCTGACTTTTAATTTATGAACTCTAAAGGCCTGGTTCAGATGCCTCAGATTACATGAGCCACTCCGAATGTGAATATAAGCTGACCCAAATTAATTTAGGTCACTGAGCTGAATTGATTCAGACGTGATCTTTATTCCAGCCAAACTTAATTCAAAGGGAAAAGTCAAAATGCACTAAAAATACATTACCAAAGTTCATGCAAGTGGTTTGGCTCATATAAAGCTCCGCATCTGAATCAAGAAGGCTGGTCCACAGCTGTTATCCTTCTCGTGGAGCTACATGTAGGTGATGAGAGCAAATGAGTCTATCCAAATTCAATCAGCCATTTCAAGCCATACTTCAAATTAACTTAATTCACTGAATTCAATTTGGCTCATGAGAGTACAGCATCTGAACAGGGCCTTTTTAATTCTACAAATATCTAAACGAGACCCAATAGTCCTTCTTCAAACTCAGTTTTTTCAGAGATAGGAAAAAAAAGCCCACATCCTTTGAATCCACCCCTTATCCCTTTAAGCCTCAAAAACAAAATAAAAAATTCTCCACACTGATCTCCATACTTTACCTTAAAGGAATGATAAGTTTACAGAATTTTTTGATAATCGTGATCATTTTATTCACATTCTCAAACCCTACTCTGTTGATAAAGTGTTGATAATCTTTGGCAAAAATTAATATAGATATTAAAGAAGGAAATTTTTTTCCATACATGCAATACCATTAGCACCAAGGTTTGTTGGTTAGAAATGGAGGAGTATAAATAACTTAGTTTGCAAGTGGTCTGCCAGCTAGAAGCTTAATATTATTCATCTATGAACTTTGGATTACCATTGTGAAATGATAGCTCTAGGCCTGAAAATTTGTCTGTATCTATGACATTTTATCATTGTACCTGCTTTTCTCTGAGATGGAAAAAATCCTGTCAGGTTTCTGAATGACAAGGATAAAAAGAACCACAGAGGCAGTTGGATCCAAGGCAAAATGTACATTTTCATTGGATTGCACCCCTCAGACTGGTAGTAGTCGTATATCATTTTACGATGCTAGACAATGGAAAGAAATAATACCAGCAAGTTATTATGTTGTAGTGGCAAGTAAAAAAATTGGTGAAGTTCTGAGCAAAGGAGTATAGCAAAATAATGACTGGCTGAGGGGATTAAATGCCCAAGTTTAATATGAACCCACTTTTTGTTTGTCTCTCAGTGTTGAGATAATGTTGGCTAGGTACCACCACACTTTTCCTACAATATATTAGCCTATGCAGCCAGTGATTTTGATACAAATAGTTATGGTGAGTCCTGGGACTCATCTTGTGAAAACTCATGAGTCCCAGTCCAGAACCAATTAGTCCCGTTTTTAAAAAATAAAGATCCAGATCCTGAGATAGCGGGGGGGTCCTAGTCTCCAAAAATTTTTGTTCAGTTTTCTGCCGCTGCATGTAACTAGACAACCAGACAGTTAATCTGGACAGAATCAAAGACAGAATCCAAAACTCTGTATTACCGTATACTTAGTCCTTCTATTTTAAAGCACAACAAAGGCTAAAAGAGATATGCACCGTTAAACAACAGCCATGGTGTAATAAATGCCACAGAAATTACACAAATGGGATATTTCTACAAATACTCACATTCAGATCGATCGATCTTTGCGTCCTACGGCACGAATGCGATGAATAACTGCCATTATTTTCCGTCTTGGGGATTTTTATGCGTCAGGGATACAGGACACAGAGGTAATAAAATTACTGCGTAGCATGCAGTGGTTATTTTTTGGGGGTTAACTTTTTATCCTAGTCTTTATCTAACACAAAGAATCAGAATCATGATGGATATGATGCAAAATAAAAACCTCAATGGGTACCAGAAAGCTGGTGAAAAAAATAATCTCAAAGCTTCAAACTTAAAACCTCATTTTATTAAAACCAGAAACTCATAAAACTTAATAAGCAAAGGCTGCTGAAAAGCTACATTGATAGGAACAAAATTAATATTTAAGGCCAGTTGCTAACTGCTATTGGTGACCATATTGTAAAAAAGTACAATGACATTCTCAGCTGAACTCAGTCTGTAACTTATTGATCCCCATGGAGCCAGTTGGGGTGATGACTACATTTGAAATTCTCAGGGTGGTTATCCACCTTTGTTATATAACTGGAAATTATTTCCCAACAGTGCGCACTCTCATTGATTACTTTGAGGTCACATGACATCTACCATTGAAACTGTTTCCCGGCAAAATCTCTGACAAGGCACCAGTGCAATATCTAAAGTTTGTATGTTGTCAGAGGGTAACAGTGCACTGTTACCCAGGAATGTTGACCGAGGGCTGCCGTTACAGCATGGTTGAATGAATTTCCAGCTTCAAAATTTCCAGCTATAAGACAAATCACTTAAAGGCTGGTCCCTCAGGAAACAGTTAATTTTTTTTCAAAATTAACTGTTTCCTATTATTAATATATGGCTACAATAGTACGTGCGAGCTGCTCTGATTAGCTGTTTTCTTGTAATGACCGTGCATTACTAGCTAGGTGTCCAAGGCATATACAATCTGTGTTTAACTTGATAGTGGACATCCTTATGGACATCCATGTTACAGTCAATTGACAGCTGTCAAAAAAGGTATGTGCTGACCAGTGTCACCTGACTGTATCATGGGCTCAAGTTTACAACTCATCGAGGTGACGTGTCTTTTTAAGTTATCCACTAACCAGTTGTTGGTTTTAATTATTGATCGCAGGCTCAGGTCCATAATGAAAAGGCCATATTATAAATAACTTATTAACCCCTTTTTTTTTTCATTGACCAAGGCCTTGATTAATAAGTACTATATATTACCTCAGGAAATAGTTATTCCTACATACATCCTTACCCTCTTCTTGAACAGCTTGTCTGCTTCATCAGCTGATACACCTAGCCTACGGCATTCACTAACCACTCTGTGTTTCAAAGCCTCCGTCATCATGCTGACAGTTGGCTGTCGCAGTTCAATTTCAGCAATAAGTTTGTTCTGGTGTATTGCCAAGGGAACTGTTATAACACTCCTTAACACAGCTGTGGAGCCAATAATTACTGCCCACCTGCAAAGAAACAAAGCAAGAACATTCCCTATCTATGGCACATGTAAATGTGGCAAATCTTCTACAAAATATAATTTGTTGGGAATAAAAAAGAAAATCTCTTGTACAGGAAAATCATGATTTATAATCTACAGTGTGGCCTCAAAATCAGCTAATAAGAGGTATATAATCCCTTACTCAGAAACAAGTGTTCTTATCAGAAGAGCACTAAAGCCCATTTCCAATATTGCACTATAAAAATACTGCCCTGTATTTTAAACATTGGCCAAACCTTTTTTTGTTACTTATGTTTTGTCTTCATTATTAATAAGAGGAACATTTGTATGTATTCCCCAATTCAGGAACGATTGGTGATCAGCGTTAACCATGTAAAGTTGGTGCACACTAGGGCACATGTCCGGGGCTGTAAAAAAGGTTTTAAGTAGCAGGCTGATAATGAATAGTAGGTGGCTTTGGAACTCGCACCAAAGGCACAAGTTCTTGAAGGCCGAGGCATCTAGGAACATTTTGAAAATTTATTAGAGTCTTGGAAATGGCGCTTCCAGGGGTTTTCAAGAGGTATTTTCCACCGCGGATACCATGTTGTTTGGTCAGACTACACGCAAGATTGAGAACAATGCTGTCGAAATGTCCCAGGCATTCCAAGACATCACACGGTTCGAACGTTTCACAGACCTAAAACTGTTAGAATATGCATTCAATGTCATTCAAAACTGGGAAATGGATGCTTTACAATTTTATTCAATGGTGCTTCTAGTAGTTATGGTAGAAGGAGATAAAAGTAGCCAGCTAAATATGGCTAGCTAGCCGGCAGTATTGGCTGGCTACCGGCCCTTATTGACAGCCCTGCATGTCAAAGAGACATGTCTGCTCATGTGCTATGAATAGGATACATTAAACATCTGGGTCACTTTGTTGTTGAATCATCATGCACAAATTTATATCTAAACCTTTTGAATTTATATTCAGCAAGTTACCAGTACAGAATTTCTTTCCCAGTTAAAGGATTTTTTCTGCAAAAAAAGTTATCATATGGGGAGAATTGTCCAGCAAATTGTTTTCCCGTATGTTTTCCAAGTGTGTTAAAAAATAATATAATATGTAAGTATGAAAATGTTTAAACACAAACCAAGGAAGATGAGTCCAAGCATGAACTTTCTCCAGTAGTACTTGAAGTGCATATACTGGTGGTAGATCAGGTGAGATAAAGAAATAAGGAGACCATGTTCCATTACTGCTGTGCCTCTTGTATTGAGCTGTACAAGTAACAGGTCCAACAATAACTTGACAGTGGATGCTGTTGTTGCTTCTAGAGGTACTTGACAACTGTACATAAAGCATAGTTTACAAGGACTAAGGAGAGTTTGGTTTAATCACATAAGGATTAGCTAGGTTGGTAGAGTGCTGGTCTGCAGAGCAGGATGTTGTGGGTTCAATTCCAAGACTAAACCAATACTCAGGGTTTTTTAATAGCTGAAGCCACCTCCTTTTTCCTATAAAATATCTAGACCATACCTTTTCATGGCTTGGAGGACCATGTAGAACTGCAGGGGCAGATCAAGGATTTTTTTAGGAGGGGGTGCACTCGTCTCTTGCTCTANAAATATTATATCTACTGTAGGAAATGTCATAATAGCGTACCTTCAATTAGAGGTTTTATTGCTAGGGCAAGACGTGTCTTCAATATTGAGCTCCATATCGCCAGGGAAAAAAATAAACTTCTTTTTCATTTTCAAAAGTGGGAGAAGCTAACTAATGCACTTTGTAGTAGTTGATACCCATAGGTTCGTTAAAATTAGCAGGCATCTTTATTAATATCGTCGTTGTTGTAATACATACATACATTTTTCGTTGTTGTTATCCTTTTTCCTTTTTGAGTAGAATTGTATTTAATGTTTATTCTTAAGTAAAATTGTAAAACTTGTCTTTAATTCAATAAAAACTGTTAAAAAAAATAAAAGAATAAAAAAAAAGGTGGGGTGTCACGACAACTCAGACCTCAGACCCCCGAAAAACTGAGGCCCCGGGATGTCCCAAGAACTCAGACTTTCAATTACCGTAGACACTTCCCCGATTCCTTTTTCTACCAGATGGTCATCACAGTTTGAAAGTTGACGATAAAAAAAACTTGCGGATTATGCTTTCGTCGGTCGGAATGTTCTTGACGCTCGGCGTGCAAAGGTCTGCGACAATACCCTTTCCTCTGCAGATCACAACTTCCTTCACTGTGAGAAATATTGCTTTCGAAAACGGGCTTCTATTAATAAAGAAAACATTGTTATAACTTACCAGGTAGCTCAGACGCTGTAGCGGTAGCCTCCGAATAGACATCCTGCTTTTATATTTTGGGTTTTAAGGCTTTTATTTGAGAAAACCCTCTCATATACTTACTGGTGGCCGCCATCTTACATAACGCGGTATAACGCAGAGGTACTGCAGGCGCGAGTCAGCGCGAGGCGGGAAGAAAATGATCGTTCTTTTCCAGGCCTACTCCAGAGAAAGCTGCAAGATATGTTTTTGATCCAATCACAAAGGGACTGTTATTTTGGCAAGTTAAGAACCGGATCCTTTTATGTGGCAAAAACTGTTCTCAGGTTACCCTTCTCTACAAATTTTCTTTACCTGTGTTTCAGTTTTCCTTAACAAATCTAAACAATTTTTTAAGCATATCTAGAACTCACATACTACGCGCGCCTATATATATGTCACGGCGTTTTCACAACATGGACTGGTTTATGTTTGGGTAAATTAAATTTTGGAGGACTTTTCCCCACTGATATGGAAGCTTCGCTCCGAAATGAACCCATTAAAATGAGGTATAAGATATCAAAAAGAAAAATTAAACGTGATTTAAAGGTCAAAAATACCATTTTTGGCATTTTTCAGGTCTTCTGGTTTTGCTGACTGCTTTGTGGAACCATAAAGATATTCTACATTCGTTTCAAAAACGTTTAAAAAATAAACTGGCTGGTGAAAACGCCGTGACAAGACTACATTGCATGGAATGTGCTCGCCCCGGTTTCAAAAAATGGGCTCCTGGTAATGGATATAAAATTCACGCAAAAAACACAAACATATTATAGCAGGTTTAAAATCCAAACCCGATATACTGGCTTTTTCATAGAGATCAAGCAAGCTGATAAATTCTGCATTAAATCAATCTAGTTAATTTGCTAAATTCGCAGTACGCACTTCAGTTCGGTCACCAGCTTCTATGAGAAAACACTTGTAAAACGGTTACACTGTAATTTTCAGGGAGTTATAATAACTCCTCTAGTGGGGCTAATTTAACTCCTTACAGTGGAGTTATTTTTCGTGGAGTTATTTTAACTCCAAAAAGGAGTTTAAAGAACTCTTTTTCAGGAGTATTACGGCATTCACTAACCACTCTGTGTTTCAAAGCCTCCGTCATCATGCTGACAGTTGGCTGTCGCAGTTCAATTTCAGCAATAAGTTTGTTCTGGTGTATTGCCAAGGGAACTGTTATAACACTCCTTAACACAGCTGTGGAGCCAATAATTACTGCCCACCTGCAAAGAAACAAAGCAAGAACATTCCCTATCTATGGCACATGTAAATGTGGCAAATCTTCTACAAAATATAATTTGTTGGGAATAAAAAAGAAAATCTCTTGTACAGGAAAATCATGATTTATAATCTACAGTGTGGCCTCAAAATCAGCTAATAAGAGGTATATAATCCCTTACTCAGAAACAAGTGTTCTTATCAGAAGAGCACTAAAGCCCATTTCCAATATTGCACTATAAAAATACTGCCCTGTATTTTAAACATTGGCCAAACCTTTTTTTGTTACTTATGTTTTGTCTTCATTATTAATAAGAGGAACATTTGTATGTATTCCCCAATTCAGGAACGATTGGTGATCAGCGTTAACCATGTAAAGTTGGTGCACACTAGGGCACATGTCCGGGGCTGTAAAAAAGGTTTTAAGTAGCAGGCTGATAATGAATAGTAGGTGGCTTTGGAACTCGCACCAAAGGCACAAGTTCTTGAAGGCCGAGGCATCTAGGAACATTTTGAAAATTTATTAGAGTCTTGGAAATGGCGCTTCCAGGGGTTTTCAAGAGGTATTTTCCACCGCGGATACCATGTTGTTTGGTCAGACTACACGCAAGATTGAGAACAATGCTGTCGAAATGTCCCAGGCATTCCAAGACATCACACGGTTCGAACGTTTCACAGACCTAAAACTGTTAGAATATGCATTCAATGTCATTCAAAACTGGGAAATGGATGCTTTACAATTTTATTCAATGGTGCTTCTAGTAGTTATGGTAGAAGGAGATAAAAGTAGCCAGCTAAATATGGCTAGCTAGCCGGCAGTATTGGCTGGCTACCGGCCCTTATTGACAGCCCTGCATGTCAAAGAGACATGTCTGCTCATGTGCTATGAATAGGATACATTAAACATCTGGGTCACTTTGTTGTTGAATCATCATGCACAAATTTATATCTAAACCTTTTGAATTTATATTCAGCAAGTTACCAGTACAGAATTTCTTTCCCAGTTAAAGGATTTTTTCTGCAAAAAAAGTTATCATATGGGGAGAATTGTCCAGCAAATTGTTTTCCCGTATGTTTTCCAAGTGTGTTAAAAAATAATATAATATGTAAGTATGAAAATGTTTAAACACAAACCAAGGAAGATGAGTCCAAGCATGAACTTTCTCCAGTAGTACTTGAAGTGCATATATGATACTAAATATTTAAATTTATTTATGGAATAATATTTATTTTAAAAGTTAAACCCTAACCCTCAGCTGTTCTGTTCCACCTAGATTAGCTTTTACTACCTACAGGACATTAAGTTAATTCTTTCAATAACATTATTGTTGTTGTAGTTGTTGTTGTTAAGCTGCTTAAATAATAATCATCATCATCATCATCATCAACAACAACAACTATTTGAACAGAAACAACTTGATAAATTTTAACTTTGAACAAAAAAGTGAGAAAAATATAACAACATGGTTATGACGTAAGTAGGTTGAGTATGATCATCCGGGTAAACGTAGTCCTGAATAGGACTGTCATTGTTGACAGTGACTGTGTTTTGACAACCTGTATGGTAGTCATCCCAAAGTCAAACTGAGTTGCATCACGTCAGTTGATGGTATTAAAAAGGTTCAGTCAGTACATATAGTTAGCACATCTCACATGTATTTTAGCAGTTCAGCCTACAATGAAGTTGCCATCATCGTTATGGTTTAACACAAGTAAGTCCATGTATGTCCTGCCCACTAGGCCATCAGTACAGGTTCACTATTATATAATAATATTTTATTAGCCATATCCAGGCATTTTAGCCATAATTTAAACACTTTGCCCTGGTAATGCATCTATCTTCTCCTAACAAAACCACAAACCACTTATTGTTTTGTTACACAATTTCTCCTCATTAGTAGCACAAGAAGAGTATAACGGTAATAGAGCTTCAATGTGTAGCAAAAAGAGAGAGTTTGAAAGGTCATATAAATGAATAAAGAGGGCCACATTAATGTACATTTTTTGTAATTTTTGAATAGAATTGTATTTTGTAATCTTTGTACTAAAAACTATGCTGGTATATACAAAAACAAAACAGGTGTATTTAATATTATAGCTTGCAATTAAAAGTAAAACTTATCCAGATTTTGATCAAAAAGAATTCATGATCTTCTGACTTTTAATTTATGTACTGTAAAGGCCTGGTTCAGATGCCTCAGATTACATGAGCCACTCCGAATGTGAATATAGGCTGACCCAAATTAATTTAGGTCACTGAGCTGAATATTGATTCAGACGTGATCTTTATTCCAGCCAAACTTAATTCAAAGGGAAAAGTCAAAATGCACTAAAAATACAATACCAAAGTTCATGCAAGTGGTTTGGCTCATATAAAGCTCCGCATCTGAATCAAGGCTGGTCCACAGCTGTTATTCTTCTCGTGGAGCTACATGTAGGTGTTGAGAGCCATTTCAAGCCATACTTCAAATTAACTTAATTCACTGAATTCAATTTGGCTCATGAGAGTACAGTATCTGAACAGGGCCTTTTTAATTCTACAAATATCTAAACGAGACCCAATAGTCCTTCTTCAAACTCAGTTTTTTTAGAGATAGGAAAAAAAAGCCCACATCCTTTGAATCCACCACTTATCCCTTTAAGGTGACTCGACCCAGTTTTTTTGGGGGGGTACCATCCTACTTTGAAGCTCTCTGGTATCCCCACCTTTACTTTTATCGTAAGTCTAACACATAGAATGGATAACATATAGATCAATCTACAATATAACATAAAATTTTTGGCGATCGGAGTAAATGTCACGTGGTTATAATGCCACGCCCCTTTGAGGTCTGAGTCGAAAATCTGCTGTTGCCGGCATTTTTTCGTGAAAATCTCTCGGCTACACATAGTGCGCATTAGTGCCTTGCGCTGAACAGAGTTTCACCAAAATCGCAAAGACCCAATTCGAGAAATTCAGCGGTTTCCAAATTTAGGTCATAATTTATGCGAAAATGATAAGCAAACTTTACACGGATTATATCTAATAAACTATGAGATTCATCTCTTTATTTTGGGCATCGTTATAACAGATGGGTCCTTGCAAGTCAGCAAAACGCTTTAGGGCCTTGTAAATGCGCGCGATTTCGAGCAAAGCAAACATATAGAAATTATAGTTTTCGCTATTTGTTGACGTTTGTCAGCGTTTAAGAGTCCTTCTCACGAAAAAAGCATTTTCTTAAAAATTCGTAGTTTTTTTTCCTTCAAATTTTTTCAGGGCCACAATTGATTAACTAACTACCCGGACTCTGAATTTCATGGTCATTGAAAAACTGTGACATTATCTTCTATAAGCCCAAACTTGAGTAAACATTGAAGATTTTTAGCGTTTTGGCTGAGTTTGTGCTTTGGGAGTTGTCTATTGTTTCTAGTCTGTCATTATACAGCATTCTTGTTCAGCACGCGTGCAATGACCGCGCTTGGCTGACTTCCGAATGCTCACCGAGATATAATAATTTTGGTACAGTGAGACAGGCCATCGCGTGATACATAGAGGTTTAAGTCACAATTTTTAATCAATTCTCGTGCTTCTTGTGCCTTTGCAAAAAAATCAAGAAGTGCTACACACTAAATCTACTTACTATTAAAAAAATATCATTTTTTCATAGGTTTAATGCAAGCCAATAATTAAACCAACTCGTGACGGGAATATCTCGGTGAGCATTCGGAAGTCAGCCAAGCGTGGTCATTGCACGCGTGCTGAACAAGAATGCTGTATAATGACAGACTAGAAACAATAGACAACTCCCAAAGCACAAACTCAGCCAAAACGCTAAAAATCTTCAATGTTTACTCAAGTTTGGGCTTATAGAAGATAATGTCACAGTTTTTCAATGACCATGAAATTCAGAGTCCGGGTAGTTAGTTAATCAATTGTGGCCCTGAAAAAATTTGAAGGAAAAAAAACTACGAATTTTTAAGAAAATGCTTTTTTCGTGAGATTGACTCTCAAACGCCGACAAACGTCAACAAATAGCGAAAACTATAATTTCTATATGTTTGCTTTGCTCGAAATCGCGCGCATTTACAAGGCCCTAAAGCGTTTTGCTGACTTGCAAGGACCCATCTGTTATAACGATGCCCAAAATAAAGGGATGAATCTCTTGGTTTATTAGATATAATCCGTGTAAAGTTTGCTTATCATTTTCGCATAAATTATGACCTAAATTTGGAAACCGCTGAATTTCTCGAATTGGGTCTTTGCGATTTTGGTGAAACTCTGTTCAGCGCAAGGCACTAATGCGCACTATGTGTAGCCGAGAGATTTTCACAAAAAAATGCTGACAACAGCAGATTTTGGACTCAGACCTCAAAGGGGCGTGGCATTATAACCATGTGACATTTACTCCGATCGCCAAAAATTTTATGTTATATTGTAGATTGATCTATATGTTATCCATTCTATGTGTTATACTTACGATAAAAGTAAAGGTGGGGATACCAGAGAGCTTCAAAGTAGGATGGTACCCCCTAAAAAAAACTGGGTCGAGTCACCTTAAGCCTCAATAACAACATAAAAAATTCTCCACACTGATCTCCATACTTTACCTTAAAGGAATGATAAGTTTAGAGAATTTTTTGATAATGGTGATCATTTTATTCACATTCTCAAACCCTACTCTCTTGATAATGTGTTGATAATCTTTGGCAAAAATTAATATAGATATTAAAGAAGGAAATTTTTTCCATACATGTAATACCATTAGCACCAAGGTTTGTTGGTTAGAGATGGAGGAGTATAAATAACTTAGTTTGCAAGTGGTCTGCCAGCTAGAAGCTTAATTCATCTATGATCTTTGGATTACCATTGTGAAATGATAGCTCTAGGCCTGAAAATTTGTCTGTATCTATGACATTTTATCATTGTACCTGCTTTTCTCTGAGATGGAAAAAATCCTGTCAGGTTTCTGAATGACAAGGATAAAAAGAACCACAGAGGCAGTTGGATCCAAGGCAAAATGTACATTTTCATTGGATTGCACCCCTCAGACTGGTAGTAGTCGTATATCATTTTACGATGCTAGACAATGGAAAGAAATAATACCAGCAAGTTATTATGTTGTAGTGGCAAGTAAAAAAATTGGTGAAGTTCTGAGCAAAGGAGTATAGCAAAATAATGACTGGCTGAGGGGATTAAATGCCCAAGTTTAATATGAACCCACTTTTTGTTTGTCTCTCAGTGTTGAGATAATGTTGGCTAGGTACCACCACACTTTTCCTACAATATATTAGCCTATGCAGCCAGTGATTTTGATACAAATAGTTATGGTGAGTCCTGGGACTCATCTTGTGAAAACTCATGAGTCCCAGTCCAGAACCAATTAGTCCCGTTTTTAAAAAATAAAGATCCAGATCCTGAGATAGCGGGGGGGTCCTAGTCTCCAAAAATTTTTGTTCAGTTTTCTGCCGCTGCATGTAACTAGACAACCAGACAGTTAATCTGGACAGAATCAAAGACAGAATCCAAAACTCTGTATTACCGTATACTTAGTCCTTCTATTTTAAAGCACAACAAAGGCTAAAAGAGATATGCACCGTTAAACAACAGCCATGGTGTAATAAATGCCACAGAAATTACACAAATGGGATATTTCTACAAATACTCACATTCAGATCGATCGATCGATCTTTGCGTCCTATGGCACGAATGCAATGAATAACTGCCATTATTTTCCGTCTTTGGGGATTTTTATGCGTCAGGGACACAGGACACAGAGGTAATAAAATTACTGTGTAGCATGCAGTGGTTATTTTTTGGGGTTAATTTTTTATCCTAGTCTTTATCTAACACAAAGAATCAGAATCATGATGGATATGATACAAAATAAAAACCTCAATGGGTACCAGAAAACTGGTGAAAAAAATAATCTCAAAGCTTCAAACTTAAAACCTCATTTTATTAAAACTTAATAAGCAAAGGCTGCTGAAAAGCTACATTGATAGGAACAAATATTTAAGGCCAGTTGCTAACTGCTATTGGTGACCATATTGTAAAAAAATGCAATGACATTCTCAGCTGAACTCAGTCTGTAACTTATTGATCCCCATGGAGCCAGTTGAGGTGATGACTACATTTGAAATTCTCAGGGTGGTTATTCACCTTTGTTGTAAAACTGGAAATTATCTCCCAACAGTGCGCACTCTCATTGATTACTTTGAGGTCACATGACATCTACCAATGAAACTGTTTCCCGGCAAAATCTCTGAGAAGGCACCAGTGCAATATCTAAAGTTTGTATGCTGTCAGCGCGTAACAGTGCACTTTTACCCAGGAATGTTAACCGAGGGCTGCCGTTACAGCATGGTTGAATGAATTTCCAGCTTCAAAATTTCCAGCTATATGACAAATCACTTAAAGGCTGGTCCCTCAGGGAACAGTTAATTTTGTTTCAAAATTAACTGTTTCCTGTTATTAATATATGGCTACAATAGTACGTGTGAGCCGCTCGGATTAGCTGTTTTCTTGTAATGACCGTGCATTACTAGCTAGGTGTCCAAGGCATATACAATCTGTGTTTAACTTGATAGTGGACATCCTTATGGACATCCATGTTACAGTCAATTGACAGCTGTCAAAAAAGGTATGTGCTGACCAGTGTCACCTGACTGTATCATGGGCTCAAGTTTACAACTCATTGAGGTGATGTGTCTTTTTAAGTTATCCACTAACCAGTGGTTGGTTTTAATTATTGATCGCAGGCTCAGGTCCATAATGAAAAGGCCATATAATAAATAACTTATTAACCCCTTTTTTTTTCATTGATCAAGGCCTTGATTAATAAGTACTATATATTACCTCAGGAAATAGTTATTCCTACATACATCCTTACCCTCTTCTTGAACAGCTTGTCTGCTTCATCAGCTGATACACCTAGCCTACGGCATTCACTAACCACTCTGTGTTTCAAAGCCTCCGTCATCATGCTGACAGTTGGCTGTCGCAGTTCAATTTCAGCAATAAGTTTGTTCTGGTGTATTGCCAAGGGAACTGTTATAACACTCCTTAACGCAGCTGTGGAGCCAATAATTACTGCCCACCTGCAAAGAAACAAAGCAAGAACATTCCCTATCTATGGCACATGTAAATGTGGCAAATCTTCTACAAAATATGATTTGTTGGGAATAAAAAAGAAAATCGCTTGTACAGGAAAATCATGATTTATAATCTACAGTGTGGCCTCAAAATCAGCTAATAAGAGGTATATAATCCCTTACTCAGAAACAATTGTTCTTATCAGAAGAGCACTAAAGCCCATTTCCAATATTGCACTATAAAAATACTGTCCTGTATTTTAAACATTGGCCAAACCTTTTTTTGTTATTTATGTTTTGTCTTCATTACTAATAAGAGGAACATTTGTATGTATTCCCCAATTCAGGAACAATTGGTGATCAGCGTTAACCATGTAAAGTTGGTGCACACTAGGGCACATGTCCAGGGCTGTCAAAAAGGTTTTAAGTAGCAGGCTGATAATGAATAGTAGGTGGCTTTGGAACTCGCACCAAAGGCACAAGTTCTTGAGGGCCGAGGCATCTAGGAACATTTTGAAAATTAGAGTCTTGAAAATGGCGCTTCCAGGGGTTTTCAAGAGGTATTTTCCACCGCGGATGCCATGTTGTTTGGTCAGAATACACGCAAGATTGAGAACAATGCTGTCGAAATGTCCCAGGCATTCCAAGACATCACACGGTTCGAACGTTTCACAGATCTAAAGCTGTTAGAATATGCATTCAATGTCATTCAAAACTGGGAAATGGATGCTTTACAATCAACGGTGCTTATTTTTTATTAGTAGTTATGGTAGAAGGAGATAAAAGTAGCCAGCTAAATATGGCTAACTAGCCGGCAGTATTGGCTGGCTACCGGCCCTTACTGACAGCCCTGCATGTCAGAGAGACATGTCTGCTCATGTGCTATGAATAGGATACATTAAACATCAAGGTCACTTTGTTGTTGAATCATCATGCACAAATTTATATCTAAACCTTTTGAATTTATATTCAGCAAGTTACCAGTACAGAATTTCTTTCCCAGTTAAAGGATTTTTTCTGTCAAAAAAAATTATCACATGGGGAGAATTGTCCAGCAAAATGTTTTCCTGTATGTTTTCCAAGTGTGTTAAAAAATAATATAATATGTAAGTATGAAAATGTTTAAACACAAACCAAGGAAGATGAGTCCAAGCATGAACTTTCTCCAGTAGTACTTGAAGTGCATATACTGGTGGTAGATCAGGTGAGATAAAGAAATAAGGAGACCATGTTCCATTACTGCTGTGCCTCTTGTATTGAGCTGTACAAGTAACAGGTCCAACAATAACTTGACAGTGGATGCTGTTGTTGCTTCTAGAGGTACTTGACAACTGTACATAAAGCATAGTTTACAAGGACTAAGGAGAGTTTGGTTTAATCACATAAGGATTAGCTAGGTTGGTAGAGTGCTGGTCTGCAGAGCAGGATGTTGTGGGTTCAATTCCAAGACTAAACCAATACTCAGGGTTTTTTAATAGCTGAAGCCACCTCCTTTTTCCTATAAAATATCTAGACCATACCTTTTCATGGCTTGGAGGACCATGTAGAACTGCAGGGGCAGATCAAGGATTTTTTTAGGAGGGGGTGCACTCGTCTCTTGCTCTACTGCAACACCAATAAACCACATCGTTTTTTTTTTTTTGCAGAATACCAGTTGTATTAGAAAACTGCAGGTCATCTCGGGGGGGGGGGGGGGGGGGGGGGG